GGAACTAGGGACGGATAGAACACATAGTGGCCCTCGGGCAAGATCTGGAGGACGCTAGGAAGAGGCGTGTACTACAGAGTATATAGCTAGATCCTGCGGCCCTCCACGCCACATACCCTTCGGGAGGTCTGCCGCAAGGGCGGCTGCGCCCTTGCCGCCATGGCGTTAAAAAAAAAAAAAAAAAAAAAGAAATCTCGCCGCTGGGCCATGCATCTAGTACGCCGACCTTGATGGGAATGACCACGTCGATGAACACTACACCTTGGAGTCGTTCAATAATAAGGGGAGAACGTCGCTTAAGCCGTCTTGCGGCGTGGCTGACCGGACAGGCGACGACGGTCGTGTTACCAGCCCCAATCTTCCAGTCCAGCCGGGATCTGATGAAGATGACGACACAAGCGGCGGTTCGGGTGGCGACCACACCCCTTACGTCCCAAATCCCAAGAATGATAACCCCCTTCCGACCAGCTCAGATGCCTCAAAGTATACAACCATTGAGCAGCTGGAAGCAAAAGCGGGATTGATCGACCTCTGGTGTGGACCGCAATATACCATCACTATCCTGCTTCAGATTCCCCAAGACTCGTTCGCTCGCTATGACGAGATCATGGCCAGCGGCTACTACAAGTACTTCAAGATTCACGCGGACTATCTCGTCAGCAATGCATGGTCGGCCCTCCGCAACTTCATGCTCATACACAGCGACGAGTACTTCAACTGCAAGATCACCGAGGAGACAACCTGTTGCAACGTATGCAAAGCGGAGGGCGTATCTTGCCACAACTCAGCCATGTCCTCCCGACTATTCACAACGAGATATGAACAGCAATGACGAGAACACGACATACTGAAGTCTATGCAGCGACAAAGAGGGCGATTTCTGGGACGCGGCAGCCGCAGAAGTCGGTGCCCCCAGGGAAAAGATGAGCATTGTCAAGTTACAGTCGGTCGGCATGTTGGACTCGTCATGCTCCATAGATTCCGTCTATAATGGCATAGAGCACATGACAGCCTCCTGCTACTACCGGAACTTTTGGTTTGACGCAACTCAAGTTGACGGGTTCAACACGGACGATGTCACCAACCCGAAGACCATTCTCAACAAGGCCCTCATTCCATGGGCGGCTCAACTCTCGCTTCTGCTGGTCTGAAATCTTTGGGCCGAGCGTTTGTGGTCATCGGCGAGGGCGCAGGCATCGGACTGGGAATTTACGACATGGTTCAGACGCCGTCAGCGATCCCTCTCGACCTCTTCGGAATTCTGTTCAGCGTCAAGGGTATCCGCGACGTCAGTAACGCCCGTAAGGCTGCCTTAACCCGATGTGCAATGCCTCACGCAGACATCGCTCGAATTAGCACAAAGGCCGCTGCCAAACTGGAACAAATCTCTTAGGTGAGTAGCAGGAATGCTCGGGGTTGGATGTGCCTAGGTTCGTTACAACTAGAGTTTAATTTGCCTGCCCCATGAAATCAACGTGTCTTGAAGCCGGTTCGGACCTGCTTCAAATTTGATCAATGAAGACAGATTGATACGATGAATTACTTACGGAGTGCTGGTCGACTGTACGTAGAGACTGGCTGGAAAAGGTCAGAAACGAGAGATGCAAGGGTGGCGAAAGGGCTAGATTCATTGACCCCTAGGGAATAGTTACCTTCCAAATACCATTTCCGAAGCTCCCCCTGAATCTGAAGTCTTGCAGACACTTCTGAACCAGACACTGCGGTTGTTGAAACCAGTGTCTCCAGCGAAATTCCCCAAGCGAGTGAGGCTCGTCGCCACTGCCCTTGCCATACTGCCCATACCATCCTCACCCACGCCCTATTTCCTCTTCGTATTTCCTTCTTCTCCTTTCTGTCCTTCTCGCGTTGTTCTCAATGATTGCTGAAGAATATTCGAGAGCACCAATGTGCGTCAATCCGGGCATCAAGATTCTGATCCGTATAGAGAAACCGGATCTCACCAGATGCACTTCAGATTTCTCAAACAGTGTAGCGGAAACCCGGCTCGTTGTCTCCCAGTTCATGGATCTCCTCCTGTGTTTTTCCATCTGACCAGCAGTTTCTCTTGCCTTGCTCGCGTTTCTGGTTCTCTCTACTGAGTAGTGCCATCATCATCAGACTCCCCACACACAGACAGAGGGCCATGAACGCTATGACAATGGCATGGCCCTCAATGAACAACGGAGGGTGGCGGTAAGTGAACGAGCTGAGGATACCGCTGAGATTTCCCCATCCAATGACAAACCCTAATACCACGCCGCGCTTGTACACTCCCTGGGTGTTGTTTGCGATCCAGGTGATGGTGTTGCTGACGCATGGGTACAGACCCATCACCCCCAGACAAGTGCCGATGTACTTGATCTTAGGGCTATCCGCCGCAAGGATCGTTGAAAAGCCGGCTATACCGACCATGCTCACGCAGACGTTGCAGATACCACGCACCTTGAACTTATCGGCTAGCCATCCCATGAAGACCGTAAACACCGCGGCGGCGGCGTAGGGGGGCACCGTCCAGAGTTGAGATTGAATCGTGCTAGTGTTCAAGCCAAGATCGTCGATGATCGTCGGCAGAAAGAGGGTGACTGCGAACAGAGGCATGTCGCAGCCCATGTAAATCGCCATCGACATCCACGTCTTCCAATCGCGCATGGCCTGCCAAAAGTACAAAGTCTTGAAGACTTCGCGACGGGCGGAGGCTTGCTGGTCTCCATCCAAACGGCGAAGGAGACGCTGTTTGTCCTCATCGGATAAGAACTCGGCCTCATCTGGAAAGTCATGAACCATCCAAAAAGATGCGACTCCGAAGACGAAGGTCAGAAGGCCCTCGATAATGAAAATCCAAGACCATCCGCGGAGGTTGCCAACTCCGTCCATATGTTGGATTCCTGCCGCGAGCGCACCGCCGAACGATCCGGAAAGCGCGGCTGCCGAGAAGAAAATGGCCTTTGCATATTAGCAGAGAGTGCCAAAAGGAACAACGAACCTTACAGCTCGGAGACCGAATTCGTCTCGACGATACCAGCACGAAAGATAGTAATTCACCCCGGGGAACATGCCAGCCTCAGTGAGTCCTAAGAACCACCGCCCCGCCATCAACCCACTCCAATTGTACACAAATCCCATGAGGGTCATACAGGTTCCCCAAAGCATCCTGCCTTGTCAGTATATACAGAAAGGATATGACGTGTTGATGGGAGTCTCTGACATACATCGTGACCGGAATGAAAATAGATGGCCTGTGTTTTTTGAGTAGGATATTCGTCAACGGCTCAAATATAGAGTAAGAGACAAAGAATATGGCTAGAGCGGCATTGTATTGTCCGTCACTGAGCTCCAGGTCCTTGTTCATGCCCGCGATCTTTGCGTTGCCGATGTTCGTGCGGTCGAGAAAAGCAAGGAGGTAGAGGATACACAGCTCAAAAATGTGTAAGTCATTGCGTTTTCTCTGTGGGGAGAGACTCTACCCATGGGATGAGCTTCCAGTCCAGACGTCGCAGCAACCTGCGCTCCTAAAATCCTGTCAATTAATTGAAAGAACATGTGAATTCTAAAACTCATTACCGCAGCTTTCTCTTTCGCCTCTTCCGCGGCTTGCCGCTCCGCTTCGCCGAGATCCGCATCGGGGTTGGAAGGAACGCCAGCGTTCGACACATGTCTAGCGGTAGCTTTTTCGTTGTCGGCCGCAGCTTTGGCGGCCGTAGCTTTGTCGCCCTCATACTCTTGAAAGTTGACGCCGCGTGCCGGGTCCCAGACCAGGTTGATGTCCATTTCGTTGGGATTACACACTCAATCAACGGTGATCGAATGGTCAGTGGTTTGCGCGACCAGTATCTTTGTGGATACTAGAAGCGGTATCCGACATCGTCGAGATTGGATCAGCAACTTTGAGCACAATAATTCATGACGAATGGCAGCATTCTTATACCTGTCATTCCCTACCAAAACTATACACAACCAGAGAGGTTTTCCCAACCAACAATTGTCATGCACTCCAGAGATTAACCAGCGACGGCTTGAACTCAGTACATCTTGAACTTAATAACTTACGCCCTACACGCTCGATCTAATAAGAAGATCACCAGACGAGCTTCTGAGGAGTCCTCGCAGGCCATACATGAACTTGTAGTCGGCACTTCACTGCGGCATTTCTCAGGTGAATTTTCAAGTGCAGTCGCCCTGTCTGAAGTAATTTTCCATGAAATATCAGCATGTCGACACACACAACCTCTAACTACATCCGTCGATGTTGACGGAGGTGATGGAGCAGGAGAACGTGGGCTTATCTATCAAGGTAGCCCCGGGTCACGTTGCTGTCACTTTGAAATCGTGGGGTCATACGTCGAAAAGGACAACGTCTTTTTAACTGTTTTCTGACATGTGACGGCTGATCGAAAGGTCCAGCCTTCGGTACTCCGCCTTTTGTCGCACTCTAAGCATTCTTCATATGGCCACGTTTCCAGCCTTTAAACCTGTGCACCGTCCCCCAATCTCCGTGGGGTGCACGCCTCGCCAATGTCCCACAAATTCAAAATTGAAAGTCGGCATTTCCTTTCGATTGCGAACCCATATATATTCGTGACTGCACTCGTCTGGCCGTTGTGATGCTGTGATCTGGCCACATCGAGGCTAACGCCATCTTTTAACTGAGGTGGATGATCGGGTCAGATTGCGACACAATAGAGTGAATCACCACATTTCGAAAGCACCCTGCAGTAATGATGTGGTCATCCAGCCACGTCTGTTCTCATTGGCTGGGCAATCAGTCAAATGGAGGCTGCCTTGTGGCGGGAACCGCGTGATTCACGCAAGCTGTGATCTGATTGCAACATACTTGGATGACGAACATCCATTTCATACCGTCTGTCTCCGGATACCCTTACGGCCAGCAATACTCGTTTCGGAACGGAACCACAACATCTCAATTTCCGACCGCGAAGCCTTTCCATCGACTCATTGTTCTTAAACACCGTCAAGGCCAAAGCTTCAATGTAAATGACAACTTTGTGCTCTATGTGAAGCGGAACATTTCCTCCTTTATGCACCATGGCGACCATGGCGCCAATAATTTCGCCTCGCCAAGTTATCGCGGCAATTTTACCCCACTCCCGACCGTTTGCATCCAGAGTCTCAGAGGGCATCCAGCCTTGCAGGTCGCCGAAGGTCGCCGCCACCGTTCTTGGTTCCCGATCGGCGAATAAAACGGTGGCGCAACAGTCTCCGAGAACTGGCTTCTCGCTGCCAGGCCAAAAGGGAGAGCCCTTACGCGCAGTAAATATTGCCAATCACAACGGTGCCGGCCCTTCTACAAATATTGGCGCCCCACGGGTCTTTGGATTTGATGTTGACGTCTCTAGGAACCGTGAATTCAGGTGGTGCGTACGTGTCGTGGCACTAATTCGGTTAGCAACCAAGTTTGGTTTGGAAAGGTGACAAACTCACACAAAACGTGTGTAAGCCCTGGCGTTCACAATCTCCATTGCCTTCATAACCGTGGTCACACTGCATAACGACAGCGTTTGCTAGGACAGGGAGCAGAGAGAGTATGGTGAGCTTCATTGTGAGTTAGCGACAGACTTCCGACGGTCGTGGGTGTGAAGTGTTGAAGATACGGATGATAGTGTGGTGTGCTGTGGTGGCTTAATTATGGGCGTGAGATTTCAAGTTATCATATATGTTCGTTCAATAACAGTCTTCGTTGAGCTACCTACAACCAGAAAGTGCAAGTCGTTAACAATGTCTAGCAAGTGTAAAGCGAGACCGAGGAGTTTAATTTGTGGTTCCGTTGATCCTTATTACCCGTTATCAAGTACGATGTACGATTATCGGCGAATCCGCATTGACACCGCTGCAACTGGAGTCGCTGGCGCCTAGGCAGGTTGGAAACAGTGTGCTCATTTACGTAGGTGAGACGGACCTCCTACCCCTGAGAAGAATTCGTCATCTTCGCTTTCATGATCATATTGTGCGGACGAGTCAATCAATACAGCCATATTAAGCATCCCGTACAGCTTAGCTATTACGAACTTGCTACCATTTAGCCGAGGTCACTGAAAGACAAGATCCTGTCATATGACCTTGACGGAACTTCATACTCAGACTACTTCCAACTTAAGAGGCCTTCAAAACATATTCCCGTTAATGTGAGAGAAAAGTCCTGTAACACTTGTCTTTCTGTTTGATCGGGTTTTCGTCATGTGCTTTGGAAAGTCCCCTCCGGTCAGCTCTACCAATCCCGAGACACGACTCCCCGGTGCCGCATTTTCCCATTTCGAAGCTTTTCCATGGCCTCGTTGATCCCGTTCTCCGTGAAAGTAAAAGACTCTATGACAGGAAGCACCTTGTGTACGGCCGCAAACTCCAACATTTCCTGGTGCAAAGGAGGCGAGCACGGCAGACTACCGCGAACCGAAATCGCATTCATCACCAGATCCATGTACGAGACTTTCAAATCCTCCGGGTCAACCGTCATTGCGAAAATGACTCCACCTCGCCGAAGCATCGGAATAATAGCCTTCCAGTCCGGCTGTTGGGAACCAGCGAGCATGATGACATCCAGCAGCTTCAGCCCTTCGGGGTTGCTGCCGCACTTCGCCCCGCTCAGACAGACGAATTCAAAGGCGCCGAACCTCCGAGAGTCGGCCTCCTTGCCCGGGGAGTGGGACATTGCCACCACATGGCCACCCATTTGTTCGGCGAACTGGATGGCCAGGTGGCCGAGGCCACCGACTCCCAGGACGCCGACGCGAGAGCCATGATGGATCTGGGCGGCTTTAAGTGCAGAATACACAGCGGCGCCGGCACACATCAACGGAGCTGCTTGTGCAGACGAGATGGAATCTGGGACCTTGAATAGAAAGGACTGGTTCCTTACAGCGTGAGATGCAAAGGAGCCTTGGTCCAGGTTCGACATGCCATACAGCTGGCGCTGGTCGCAGTAGACGTGCTCCCCGTTCCAGCAATAATGGCACGATCCACAGCTTCCATGGCAATAGCCCCATCCAACACGATCGCCACTGCAATGACAGTCAGCACCAGAACTTTATTCACAAAAGCTCTTGATGACCACTTACATCTGCAGATCTTTGACTGCTCCGCCCACTCTTTCGACCACGCCGACCCCCTCGTGGCCGAGGACCATGTCCTGGGTCTTGTAATGTTCATCCGTACCACATAGCCCGGAGTGGGTAATTTTGACAAGAACTTAATCAGGTTTCAGGCTATTCTTGTATGCTGTAATGTGGTGTTCAACAACCTTTCCGTTGGCGGAACCTTTGTACACGGTAGTGGTGGACATGGTGGATGGCTTGTTTTGAAAAATAATTATTTGCGAATAAGTAATTGGTAGTAGATCGATAACACAAAAGGCTTCTGACCTCGATATTCTCTGAAGTACTCAGGCATCTTTATATTCACAGTAGCTATTCGAACACGATAGCCTCGGAAAACACTTGTCATGTCGCATGGAATCGTTTCGTCGCTTGATGCCCTCACCCCCAGCACCGTGCCCGACAATGACACAGAGCAGTGGACCGAAGATCAACGGAGGTCCCCCACATGCTGTCAAACTGGCGAATGATTGCCTAGACGTGGCCCGAGTTCTTGCAAGGCCTTTGTGACTCGCGACAACCCGATGCTCTCGGACCCGGATCGCAGTCGCCCGATTGGTCACTTTGAAAGCAGGTTGCTTTTGAACTGGCCAACAGAAGAGTTCGTGAACATCGCCATCTAAAATCGAGCCCATGGTGTGGGTTGACAATACCGTGGCGATGAAGTTTCGGGATTATATGAGAAAGAATTATCGCGTATGTGGATAGATAAAAGAGGGCATAAAAGGGCTCATCTACGACGGCTCGAAGCTCAATCCTGTCGTGACATCCAGAGACATATTCTTCAAACTATTCCAAACTACACGCCATACCATTTCACAATCGCCCGGCATGTCTACAGAAGAAGAGCAAACCAACATCAACGTCATTGCCGAGTACTTTGCCGAGTACTGGGGCAAAGGCAATGCGGACATCGTGGACAAACTCTGCGTGGATAACTTTGTGATCAACTACCCCATGCATGGCCCCCGACACGGAAAGGAAGCAGCGAAGAAGATGCTTCGGGAGTTCAAAGAGGTAATTGTTATTTTCTAAAACCTTCCCATTCAAAATTTCCAGTTCTGATACTCTGTGTAACAGGCATTTCCCGACATCTCGTTCCATGCCTACCAGCACCCTCTCATCGCCAGTGGTCCGTACGTCGTTGGCCGATGGATTGGTGGAGGAACGCACAATGGTGTGGCTTTTCATGACCTGGCGGTCGGTGCACTGGACCAGCCTAACACGGGCAAGAAGATGTACTTCTCAGGCACGACGATCTTCACGCTGGAAAATGGAAAGATTGTGGACGAGACGGGGGAGGAAGGGGCTCTGACGGCTCTTCAGCAGCTAGGACTTGTTCAGGGACCGAATTCGGGGAAGGAGATCAAATATCTTCATGAGTGATTGGATTGAACATCATATCAAGTTGGACGGTTGTAGGCCGATGTTACTAGCGCAATATTACAGCCCAGGCATTCTCTCCACAGCACTGACTCAGCCCCTGTGAAACCATAAAGAGCGTCCACGCCCCCAATGTCTGTCGTTGACTTTGCACCACTACATTCGCCATGCCTCTGCAACCACACAACGCCTGCCTCTATCATGGCCTTCACAACTGACAAGACACGCTGGCAAGCTCTCTGCAATAGAACACCCGCCGCTCACGCATCATTCATCTACGGTGTCCTCACCACTCGCATTTTCTGTCGTCCAACATGTCCAGCACGCCTTGCACGCCGAGCCAACGTTGTCTTCTTCGACGCCGCTGAAGACGCCGCCCGTGCAGGCTTCAGGGCCTGCAAGCGCTGTAAACCAGACTCGGCAACCCCCGAACGACCCAACCAGGAGGTGGTCCAGCGAGCGTGCGCCATCATACGGGACCATAATGGCGAAGTCACCCCGACAGAGGCCGCTAAGCTGGTTGGGCTGTCTTATCGATACTTTCATGGTATATTTAAAGAGGTCACCGGTGTGACGCCGGCGCATTTCGCCAGGCAGTGTAGAGAAGCGCAACTCGGAGATGCAGTAGGGTCTGCGAGTTCAAACACGCCGCGGACCGCGACTTCGAGGGACACAGCAGCGATGCCTAACACGAGCATTGAACTGTGTACGAACAACAGCCTAAACCTGGCAGAGGGCGGCTACAGAGAAAGTTCATCAGAAAATCCCGAATTAGAAAAGGAGTTGGATTTAATTTGGCGAGAAATGTGCCAGGATGACGGTCACGCTCTATGGGATCAGGTAGACGAGACTCTCCATGGCGAAGTGCCCTGGAACCTGTCGCTATCAGGTGTTTATCAGGTGAACGACGTAGACGTCATAGATTCCGAATGGATAATATAGAATATTAGTCTGTAGACTTAGGGCCCTCTTCTAATCCCTGTTAGCTGCGACGTCTCGCGATACCATGTGCCTGGGTCGCTTTGAAAGCCGGGAGCTGATGCCGGCCCGGCCCAAAGAAGGGGGGGCGGGTGGCTCCCAGATGGTAGGCAACCTGGTAACAAGTCGACGCTATGTGGTCCTGGAAGTGCACGTATGGGTAAGTTCCCGTATCAAACATCACCTATGTCTTGGCCATTACGAACTTGCTACTGTTTGGCTGCGATTACTGGGTGACAAGTATGGTAGTCTCAAAGGAACTTCGTAGTCAGAGTTCTTTTTTTCTTGGGAGGGATTCGAAATTTTGCCGCATTAGTGCGAGCCGAAAATCCTTTGATATCTCCGTATATGTTTCTCATGTGCTCTGGAAACCCAAGGCCACCTCCTTTCTTTACATTGAGGCCATCTCGGATTGGTTATCATAAAGGGTGGGGCGTAATCGGGCCGCCAAGGACTTGACGGCCCGGGAGTAAAGTGGACACCCGGATGTCCACGGGTAGGCCCCAGGTCCATCGCAGGCTATCGGAACGGAATATCTATCCGGCAGATTCCGATAAAATCCCGTCCCGCCTGCATTGTAGATCGCTGACTCATCCCTCAGCCGGTCCCAATCGGCGACAAGCCCCTCCAACCAGCTAATCCCCGAAAGACGAAGCGCTTTCGCCGGACTCATCTGACGTGAGAACTTCTTCCCCTTGCTCAAAGCCGATGAGCATCTAAATCACTATCACTTCACGTGATGATGAATTTCAACAAGCAATATTAAGCCTCAACCTACCCGTCTCACTCTCACCTGCATCTACCGACAGGGATATCTCTCAAAAGTGAGGGGCACTCACTCCTCATCCCACCTTTCATCCCACCACCTCAACGACCCCTGCCATCTCAAGCAATGGCCAAGCGCGTGTGCATCGTCGGTACATACCCCCCGAATTCCCCGTCCCCTTCCGTGCCCCGGCCCGGTCCGGCACTCTAACATGCTCCGTCAGGCGCCGGCCCCTCCGGCCTCGTCGCCGCAAAGACGCTCCTCCACAACACCCCCGCCGGTGCCTTCACCGTCACAATCTACGACGCCCAGTCCCGCATCGGCGGCCTCTGGCCCACCCGCCGCGACGACGCCTCCGGCCTCGTCCACCCGCTCATGGTCGCCAACCAGAGCCGTCACACCGTCCAGTTCAGCGACCTCGCCTGGAACCCCGAAGAGCCCGAGTTCCCCCGCGCCTGGCAGATCGGCCGCTACCTCGAGCGCTATCTGGACCGCTACAAGGGCGCCAACGTGAAGCTCGGTCACCGCGTCGTCAAGACGGACCTCGCGAGCGACGGCACGTGGAAAGTTACTGTCAAGTCCGACGCCGGCGGCGAGGAGACCAGCGTGTTCGACTACCTGCTCGTCAGCTCCGGCTTCTTTGGCAAGCCCATCGTTCCGGACGTTGCGGGGAAGACGGATGTTCCCGTCATTCACAGCAGCAAGTACCGCGATCTGCAATCTCTCTTCCCTGATGGAGTCAAAGACGGCGGTAAGATCTTGGTCGTCGGCGGCCAGATGTCCGGCGTCGAGATCTCCGGCACCATCGCGACACATCTCTCCGCTGCGGTGAACGCGCCCGACCCGGTCCCGGTCCCGAACGCAGACAAGCTGTCGGTTCATCACCTCGTCCAGCGGCCCACCTGGGTCTTCCCGCTGTACACGACTCCAAAGGTACCCCGCCTCCCCTCACGCTCATATCTCTCTCAACTGACACGTTCCAGCCTGGCTCTCCAGCAGCCCCCTTCCTGCCCCTGGACTTCCCATCTTACAACCTCAACAACCGCCCTCATCCCCTCCAAAACAGCCAAGGCCACATCACCCCCGAGGCCGCAAAGACAACGCACACAATCTACACCACCTCCCTCGGCCAGGACCAGTCCTCCTTCTCCCCCTCCGTCGCTGTCACGCCCTCCCACCACTCCGAGCCAGCCTACCTCGCCGTCTCAGAAAACTACATGGAGTTCGTCCGCTCCGGCCTCATCACAGTCTCCAACGGCAAACTCACCTCCCTCGCCAACACCACCGCCACAACCACAACCTCCCCCATCGAGAACATCGCCGCCATTATCCTCGCAACCGGCTTCGACCCCTCCCCCTGCCTCTCCTTCCTCCCCGCCCCGGTCCTCGAGACCCTCAAACACTCCCCAGACCACCCCTCCCTCCCCCTCGCCCTCTCCTTCCACGGCACCCACCTCAAAGACCTGCCCACCCTCGGCTTCGTCGGCTTTTACCGCTCCCCGTACTGGGGCGTCATGGAAATGCAAGCCCGCCTCCTCGCCGCCCTCTGGACCTCCTCCCCCGCCCCTCCTCCCGCGCTCTCAAACGCCCTCCTCGACGACGCCTCCGACTGGCGCACCGTCTCCCTCCGCGACGACCCGCGCTGCTCCCAGTTTCCCATGGGCGACTACGCCTACCTCATGCAGGAATTCGCCGCCGCCCTCTCCATCCCCATCTCCCCGGCCCCGACCCCGGCGACCCCTGAGCTGCCGCACAACAACAAGCCAATGGATATCCTCACCCCGGCGCGCTACCTCTCCCCGCTCGCCTCCCCCGAGGCCGAGGCCGAAGCCGCCGCCTCGCTGGCGCAGACGCACGACACTGCCGTCGCGGGGCTGACCACCCCGCGCTTCGTCGCCAAGGCCGTCTTCCGCAGTTTGCTGGGCACATGGTCCCTCGAGCGCTCCCTCACAAGCCGCCTGCCAACGCACCCCAGCGGCCACTTCAGCGGCACCGCGCAGTTCCTGCTGCGCGATAAGACCGCCGACGGGCTCAAGTGCGTGTCGGGCTCTGCGCCGGGAGAGGACCCTGAGGATGAAGGATTGGCGACGGAGTACCTCTACATCGAAGACGGGGAGTTCCGCGCCGATAACGGGCTGGTGTTTAGGGCTACGCGGCGGTACGTGTGGCGGTACGACGAGAAGAAGGATTGCATTAGTGTGTGGTTCGTCAAGACGGACGATGCGAAGAGGGCGGATTATCTCTTCCACGAGATCGAATTTTTGCCGCCCAAGGGAGAGGATGCGAAGGGATGGAAGGCGCAGGCTGGGCACCTCTGCATTGATGATTTCTATAATGTGAACTATGACTTCACGTTCCAGAGTGTGAATCTGAAGGAGTGGAATATTGGATATACGGTGAACGGTCCGAAGAAGGATTACACGATAGCCGGGGTGTATAGACGACAGACATAGACAGATGTTACAGCCGGAAGGATACTAGAATCGAATTGTATAGAAGCTTCGTTGTGAAAGAAGTTTCTCAGGTAGGTCTAGAGTACTATACGATTTGGTCCTGGCTATGAATGCTATTAACGATGCATACCTATGTGGATACTCAGACACAGTTCTCCGGTGTTCTCTCCATTACCCAAGGCAAGCCTCAACGTGGCTCAATGCCACCCGTGTGACTCCCAAAGCGTCTTCTGCAAACTGAACATGGATTCCAGGGCACGCCATCTCCTGCTCTTTCTCTCTTGGAAATCGGCAGAATCTCTTCCCTAACGGTCGGTTCGTAGAGGGTCGTGCGGAGCAGGCAGTGACGACTCTGGTTAAAGTCTCCGCCGCGGGTGCAGATGAGGTTTTGTCAACTCGCTAGTCGTCGACGTCCGGCATCAAGATGTCTCCGTCACAGTCAATCTCACGCAAGCTACCATCTGCTTGTATTGAAGCTCTTGTCATCCGTGGTTGCCTTCCGGTGTTGAGGGCCCAGCACCGCCCCTAGCCTTCGGCGCTGAAAGCCCAGATGAGCATGTCGGGACCAGAATCCACAGCTAGAGCTATGATACCGGAGCAGACATCCACATGTTGACAAGGAACATCGATTGGGAAGGAAAGGCTGTCGAGGGAGCTCGCTGTTGGATGTACGGTATCGTGCGCAGCGACGAGTAACAGAATCGACGATTTTGGCCACCACCATCTCCATTGTGCCACTGCTCCGTCGAGGTCTTCCAACGTGCCATAGAAGCTAATGTCACGTAACACGTCTGGCGGTATGGTGT